GAAGCAACACATCTGAAGGTGTATGGAGAAGACATATTGGAAGAGGCTCTTGTATTCACCACTACTCACCTTGAGTCCACAGCTATCCATGTAAGCAGTCCACTGGCTACACAAATAACTCAAGCCCTAGAGAGACCTCTGCGAAAAAGTTTAGAAAGATTATTTGCGCAGCGTTACATTTCAATCTACCAAGATCAAGCTTTACTGAAACTTGCAAAGTTAGACTTCAATCTTGTTCAGCCTTTGCACAAAAAGGAGCTCCAAGAGATTACTAGGTAATTAAGCTGATCTTATTAGTTTGCAAGATGACCAAATGTATACACATTTTTCGAATTCAAAGTAATTAATATTTAAGTAATGGTCGAGAGCACTAGACTTTGAAGGGAAGCTACCATTTGCAATAAGTAGGATGGTAGAGTTGTACTTTTGGATTGTTGGAGTGTATTTTGAACCCCTGTACTCCGTTGGGAGAAAAATTATGACAAAAGTGAGTGTCTTGCTGACAATAATGGATGATATCTACGATGCATTTGGTACATTTGAAGAGCTCGTAGTCTGTACTAAAGCAATTGATAAGTTTGAGATGTATTTAAATAATAACTATTTATTGAAAATAATTAAGCTGCTACTTTATTCCAATGATTACGATGATGATTATGCTAGCGCTTCAGGTGGGATGTCAATTGTGTTGATGAACTCCCAGAATATATGCAAACATTTTATCATGCACTTTTAAATCTCTACAATGAAATTGAGGAAGAGATGGTGAAGGAAGGAAGATCATACCGAGTTCTGTATGCAATACAAGCTGTATGTAGTACATAAACATGTGCAGCACTTTTCTTTTAAACTTTTTTTATTCCTGGTAAATTAACGTACCCTTGGCTCGTCAGATGAAAGATCAAGCTCGATCCTATTTTAATGAGGCCCGATGCTTGCATGAGGGAAGAGTTCCAAGCATGGAGGATTACGTGCGTGTTGCAACAGTTTCAATTAGTTACACCTTTCTTATAACCGTATCTTTACTTGGCATGGGACATGTTGTGACAAAGGAAGCATTTGAGTGGTTGTTCACTGACCCCAAAATTGTTAGAGCTGCAAATACCATTTTTAGGCTCATGGATGACATTGTTTCCACAGACGTACGTATAATTTTATTAACTTGTGTGATTATTTCAATGCAGTAAGATCCTAAGACATATTAATTTTGAATTTAATTTTTGCAGTTTGAGGAAGAGGGCATGCTGCTTCTAGTGTTGATTGCTACATGAAGCAATACGGGCTGTCAAAGCAAGAGACAGTTGATGCTTTTCAGAAGCAAGTTATGGAATTGTGGAAGGATATAAACGAGGAGTTCCTTGGATCAACTTTTGTGCCAATGCCTGTTCTTATGCGCGTTCTCAATTTAACAAGAATAGTTGATCTTCTTTACAAAGGGGAAGATGGATTCACACGATTTGGAAAGGTGACGAGAGATAGCGTTGCTTCAATCTATATCGATCCAATGCCACTATTTCGTTGTTGTTAGAATATCGATGTTTTATGATGTCTCGTTGAATAAAATGACCGTTGTATTTTTTTTTATTTTGGACAAAAAATCAATTCATAAAACCTAAAACAGGCACAACACGAACAAGGAAGGCCAATAAAAGCCCAAACAAAAAGCATAAACTACAATGGACAGTGATGCCAATACAAATTAGGAAGCATGAAAGTCTAACTAGAAACAGACAAAAGCTTTTAGCCCTCTAAATGGTGACCAAAAGAAGGGGAGGCTGATAGAACTTAGCTATATGAAAATAATTACTCAATATTAGAATAATTAAGCTTGGCATGAGTGACACGCCCCGATCCCGATGTCCGGAGGATAGCGGGATGGCCATGTGCTGGCCGACACCTGAGGTGACGCAAGCCATCTAATGAATGCATATGCTGAGAATATGTGAAACATGCATATTACATTATGAGTAGTTCAAGCGAAATTTATATGTATTCATTAAATGGCTTGCGTCACCTTCAGGTGTCGGCCAGCACTTGACCATCCCGCTGTCCTCCGGACATTGAGATCGGGGCATGTCAATGAGAACTTGAGGTGTACGGAGTTAACGACCCACAATTTTAGCAAATGAGAGTGAATGATTTCGTTTTAGAAGAAATGTTTGAAGGCACATTTGGTGGTAGTGATTAAGGTTTCAAGAATGAGAATGTGGAGAAAAGGGTGAGGTTATTGGATTGCTGGAAGCTTTTACAGTGGTTGGGAGGTAAAGACCCAAGGGAGTGGGAGGACTAGGTTTAGGGGCTTAGGCGAGATCCTAAGCGTATTTTTTATTTTAATTTAATTTGTTATATATTATATTTCCAATAGCAATTCCTGAGAAAAAAAAAATATTGAGCTTTTAAACATTACTTTTATATTCTTAATATTAAATATTTAAATTTCTTATCTCTTTATATATACTTATAAAAAAACATTTAGAACTATAGAAAAACATTCATCTCTTAAAGCAGGAGTTCGTTGTCTAAGATTTTCGGCTATGGATATCCGTTGGACAAAGATCGTCGCATAAAACCTATTGCTGAACATTTTACTCGGCGAAAACTAATTTTCATTGTGCAACAACAGCTTTCCTGGTGAACGTTCGTCGAGCAAGCTCGTGTTGACCAAAGAGACCTGATAGAAAATGGTTGCTTGACAAAATATTTTCCTCGGCCAAAATTTTAATTTTTTTAAAACAAGAAACCTTAATTTTTTCTACCGACCAATTCGTAGGGAGTGTTTTATTAACAAAACTAAATTAAAAAAAATTAAACCCTTAACCCAACGAATTCACCTTATTAATTTATAATTAAGAGACAAGTACATACTTTCCTTTAATTTACTTCCAATCCAATCACAAAGCTACAACAATAAAAAATAATTAATCACACACTCAAATAAAAATTTATTCAACAAGTAAAAACAAACTAAGCTTAAATTAATTGGGAGAAAAGAGAGATGGAGGAGAGAGTATGAGTGTGAGAGAGAGAGAGAGACTTGGGCCAATGAACTGGGCCATTGGGCAATGTTAATCTAGCTGACAAACCTCAGTTTCATCAGGCAAACCTTAAGATATTGAATTAGTGTTATTTTAGACGCAGGAGAAATAAAAGAAGGAAGCACCATTTAATTAAGAAAAGTGATTGGAGAATTGGTAATGCGGTGATTAAAAGATTATTTGCTGCTGCCATATCTCGAAAGTGGTATGTTTAGACTTTTCAGGCTATTCGGATGAACGCTACTTAAACTTTGATGCGGTCGTAGAAGTAGTGTTTCTTTCTCCCACAAAAGTCGCTTAAGCCATCCCTTGCAGAAATCCATTACAAAAGAAATATCAAGATATTGTGAATGCGATAGCGTTAGTGGAAGTATGCAAGCAAAGATTTCAATAGTTGAGAGATGATAACTTTGGGGACTTGTTTCATGATGTACAAAATTTTCGTGAGGAGCATGACATTATCGTTCCTAACATGGAGGATTTGCATTTCGTACCTAGAAAATCGAGGCATAAAGCTAAAAGACTCACGAACTTTCATTATTATCATGTGGACCTCTATTTTCAAGTCCTTATGTGCACATTTCTAACAAAGACATTCCTATTGGAAATACCCATTTTCAATTATGACAAAATTAGCGACGACTGAACATGGTCAATAATATATATTTCCAATGAAGCTTCACCATCAGAAATATATATTACCATTGAAACTTCAATGTCGCAAATATATATTCTTGACGAAGCTTCACCATTGTAAATATATATTCTTGACAATGCTTCATTGTCGAAAATATATATATTTGCGACGAAGCTTGCCATTGCAAATATGTATTACTGACAAAACTTCACCATTAGAAGTACATAATTTTTACGATGCTTGCTCATCGCAAATATATTTTTGTGCCTATTTCTATGAAGACGTTATGTATTTTCGATGACTACGCTCTCGTAAATAAAAATTATTTTGTTGGAAAAAGATTTTGTGACACAATTGTTTGGTCAGAAAAAAGTCATCGCAAAAAAACACATATCGTTATTTGGAAAGTAATTTTGACAACTATATAAGTATTTGCAACCACATTGCTATGTCGAAAATAAAACAAGTTTGCCATTTTGAAAATTTATTTCTGACATAAATATAACTATTAACAACGATGGCTGGTTGGAACAAAGGTATTTTTCGAAAACATAACTATTAACGACGACATTTTGTTTTTTTATTTTTTTATTTTTTACAGCATTAACCCCCTGTAATGACATTTTATTTTGTAGTACAAATTATTCCATTAACTTTAACAATTTTGTTTGTTTTGCAACTTCAAATTGGGAAGCCTCTTCCATTCACACCTAAAAATAATTGACAATATAATAGAAGAAACTCATAAAATCGTGAAGACTCTTAACGTTTTTATGTACATTGGATCATGGGCAACCCTAAGTTGAAGTTTATCCACTCTTGTGAGCATAAAGAAGACAATTATATTGTTAATTCTTCAGATCCAAGGTGATAATTCTCCATATTATTCGCTAACGTTAGAAACATCAAACTCGAATTGAGACAACGTGTCAAATGTTTAATTAAAGAAATTTGTCTGTCCCCTCCCACGTTGAACATTATCTATTCTAAAGTTGAGGAGGGGTGGCTTCGGTTTGTTGCCTTTTGGGCCCGATGTGGGCTGTCACATGGGTTGGGGATGGGATCATTAAAATTACTCTTTAGCCTGTTTTCAATCCAGATCGAACGGACCGGGCTATAGAACTTGGGGGTAATTTTATAATTGTGTATCTAAAGGGATGGGATTGGTGTTTTGACATCGAGGTTGACGGGACGTGTTGCAAATAGAGGGAGGAAGTAGGCGTAGGTATTCCAGAGAGAAAAAGAGACAGGGTTCAGTGGTGATGATGATTTGCTCCACCTAGGATTGTTCACGTAAGATTTCGACAGCATTGTCCCTCTTCTGAGGTCCTCCCCGATGAAGCCGTCAATCGCCTCCTCGCTCAAGGTCCTCCCCATATCTATCTCTGTCCTTACTTTCTCTCTAAAATTTGAACCCTTTGGGTTTAGGTTTCATCGGATGGCATTTGTAGTGTTTATACTAAACCGTCGACTCCTTATTCAATTATGATTTTCCTTATTAATTTGACCATGAAAATTGTCAATTATTTTCTAAATATTGGATGCTTTAATTCATAAGTTGAGCAGTTTGTGTTACCCATGTTAGTCATTTTCATGTTCATTATTTAATTGCGGACATTACTCTAAACGTGTTCAATCGGTTTCATAATTTCTGATAAGTTCATGCCCATGAAATGCATCAACTTATTATATATATACACTAGCATTTGCCTACACACTTCGTGTGTATGAACATATTTTTTTAGAAAATGAGAAGGATAAAGGGAGAGAGGGAGAGAGGGAGAATGTGGATGAGTGGGAGGTTTTTGTTTTTGGTATTTTTTTTATTTTTAATATTAGAGGTATTTTAACATCACTTGTAAATAAGGCTTCAATAAAAAACGGTAAAATTTGGGCTTGTGAAATTACATTATTGCCCATATTATTATTATTATTATTATTTTTTTTGTGATAGAAGATTATGTAATCTTTTCACCCTCTTTTAGTTAACAAAAAATGTTTCATTAATTCGTAGATATATATGGGATAGGATCAAGGGACATATTTTTACACTCTTTTTAAGCCTTTTGATTACATGACATCCAATGGTTCTTATTTATTAAATGACATGGATGCTTATGTAGATTTTAACTAATATTAAAGATAAAATATAACTAAAAAAAAAATCTGAAAAAATTAAACATATAATTAAAAGGGGAAGAAACCTTAGATTGATACGAAATGAACTTTTGCAAATAGAAATAAGGTATGATATGAATTAATACCAATAGCAATCGATTAAGGACATACTAATGTTGAGATATTCACTTCATTACTAGATACTCAACATTCCTCAAATATATTGCATTGGAACAATGTTCTGGGACGACAAATATGGAGCCGAGGGATTATCTGCATACGTGAGTGTAACTAATTATGCATCATTGTTTGCTAACTTGAGTTGTCATGAGAGCGCATATATGCTAGAGCTAAAGCAGAGTTATATAGATGTGTTGTCACATCCCTGCCCGGGTCGGATCACTTCCCGGGCCCGGTCCACCACCGTAGCACGATATTGTTCGCTTTTGGTTCCGACCACGCCCTCACGGTTTTGTTTCTGGGAACTCACACGAGAACTTCCCGATGGGTCACCCATCCTGGGAGTGCTCTCGTGCGCTACTCGCTTAACTTCGGAGTTCCCACGGAACCCGAAGCCAGTGAGCTCCCAAAAGGCCTTGTGCTAGGTAGGGATGGGAATATACATTTAAGGATCACTCCCCTGGGCGATGTGGGATGTCACAATCCACCCCCCTTAGGGGCCCGACGTCCCCGTCGGCACACCACGACCAGGGTTAGGCTCTGATACCAAATTGTCATATCCCGACCCAGGCGGGGACCACTTCCCGAGCCCGGTCCACCACCGTAGCACGATATTGTCCGCTTTGGGCCCCGACCACGCCCTCACGGTTTTGTTTCTGGGAACTCATACAAGAACTTCCAAATGGGTCACCCATCCTGGGAGTGCTCTCGTGCGCTACTCGCTTAACTTCGGCGTTTCCATGGAACCCGAAGCCAGTGAGCTCCCAAAAGGCCTCGTGCAAGGTAGGGATGAGAATATACATTTAAGGATCACTCCCCTGGGCGATGTGGGATGTCACATGTGTAAACGGTATCTCATTTTTTTCTCCATCTGGGGATTCGTTTTGTTGCATCAGGCTATTGGACAAATGAGAGTTCTGATGGCGGATGATTCAATCAATATGAACATGCCCAATAATTCCTTCGTGCTTGACGTTGATTCCAAGTAATATTAGTCATTAAAGTCTTAAAGATTTGACCTATGGAATTCAACATCTACTTACATACAATCTCCAACACTACAAGACCCGAGTTACGTACTAAAAATGGCTGGCATAATTGATTTGCAGCATACCTTTTTTGATGGAAAAAATGTGCACATCCTTCATTGATATCAGCCTATCTGATGTGGATCCATGGGCCATCATCCACCAAAGATCTGACTTCCACGTCATGTTGCAACAAATTGATTGAGGTTACTTGAACTAATCAGTGCATGAGTGTTCAGATAAATATGCATTGAATTCTTCCCTTCAATATTCACACCATCAACAATTGGAATTTGGGAATGACATTGCTACTTTCGATTTTCCTAGAGTGCCCAAGTTCATTACAACAAAAATGGTTGCAAATAACATATATCCTCCATTGTCTAAATTGCACCTGCAACGCTGTTTTTGCTGGTGTCGTCCTCTGATCAGCAACAATTGGAATTTCGTATCAATCTAGGGTTTCTTCCCCTTTTAATTATATTTTTAATTTTCCAGATTTTAAGTTTTTTCAGTTTTATTTTATCTTTAATATGTTAGTTAAAATCCACATAAGCATCCATGTCATTTAATGAATAAATAAGAACCATTGAATGTCATGCAATCAAAAGGCTTAAAAAGAGTGCAAAGTATTTGTAAAAATATTTGTCCCTTGATCCTATTTATATATATATATATATATATATATGTATGTGATGTATATAACTGCTTGAATCAGGACTTAACGAATGAAGGCAACAGCAAGGAAATTTGAGCCTTGGCCTATAAAGATACGATTTTGCAAGGAAGCTAGGTACATTCTAAACTTATTGTATGTGAAGATTTGTATGACCAAATTTGTGATTAATGTAATTGGGTTTTATTAAATTTTTCATGATTTTAAAGAATTTTTTGTTTAAATTTGTGTGGGTTTTTTCATTTATATTGTGGGTTTTAGAGAATTGTTAGTCAAATTTATGGGTTCTTTTAATGTGATTTTATGTGAGATTAATCAACTGCAATGTCGGATATGATAATGGGTGGGCACATATTCATATGTTTTCCAAAATCTGAATGATTTTATTTGTTTGTCTTTTTCTGGGTTTGTCTGCAATGGCTATTATGAGTTTCTGGCTTTCTTCATGTTTCAGGCAGTTGTTGTTGGAAAATTTAATACCTTAAATTATTAATTCAATGAAAATTAGAAGTGGAGTCTTTTGGTAGAAAGATATGTCTATTTAAATAAAGTGTTGCAACTTTTGACTCTTCATTAATAGTCACATACTTTCCAAAGAGGTATCTCACATTCTATAAATAGAGAAGCCCCCTATAATCACAAAATAACTTTTCGTCATACATAATGCATTAAATATTAGAGAGTCTCATTGACTTCATATGAGAAAGTTTTCAACACAATCGTGGTTCATGTAGCCTTATGATTTGGAGTGCTACTATTATAAGGACGTGATCGTTGTATCTTGGGAGACATGCACCGATCAACCATGAGAACTATAGTGGGGCGTAAACTTGTCTTAAGGACAAAGTGTCCAACACTTACCTCGACCGTATTTTCTAGATTTTTCTAATCCATTATATCATGTTCATTTAACATTTGTTACTCATGTGCATTCATTACTTTGACATATAAGTGCATCAATTATTTCTTGATTTTTGATGTGATTTAATATAGCAAGAAAGGGTTTACGTTTTGATTGAAAAGTTTTGGTTTGGTTGCTATAATTTTGTCATCACTTCCGAATTGGCATTAATTACATAAGTGGTTGTTGACAACATGTTCCCTATTCATACATGTATTGTTTCCAAGAAGATACCAACTATATATATATATATATATGTGTGTGTGTGTGTGTGTGTGTGTGTGTTTGTGTGTGTGTGTGTGTTATTGTTTCCAAGAAGATACCAACTATATATATATGTGTGTGTGTGTGTGTGTGTGTGTGTGTGTGTGTGTGTGTCTGTGTGTCTGTGTGTGTGTTAATTTTGTGGTTTTACAGATGCTTAATGTCATATATATGAAGTGATTCATGATTTCATATACTGTTAGTGAATTTAATTAAGATTTGATTGGATTCAAAATAAGAAATAGTGGAGCATGCATGACACTTCTTTTGTCTTGTATACAAGTGACAATGATGTATATAATCTTGTGCTAGTTGAAAAAAGGTTATTTCCTTAAGAGTACTCACAAGGAAAAGTTATTTGGTGCAGCCATTATTGTAATAAGATATCTTCTCTACTTATATTGGTTCAAAAGTTTAATAATTCTCGTGAATGCATATGAGATGTGATTTCCTTTTTGTTATAAAGAATTAGTAGTTTGTCTGAGAAAGTTGTTAAATTTTCTGCAAACCTCCATGAAGAGTTGCGACCCTTCATGAAAAGATGATATGGCGCAAACAAGAAGAAACGGTTTCAATTTTGAAAAGTAACGATTATCGCCTGAGAACAAAACTAAGACGAAGCAAATCTTTCTATTAGGAAAGTAACATTCCCTGCCTGGAAAAACCAAGCCCTACACAATGATTAGTCTTCTGCATGCAAATACAGATGCTTTCATTTTATGAAAGCAAATGGCAGAGTCATGGTAGGTTTGGTTGGAGAATGGAAACACTCTGTTTGTTTAGCATCTATTGGTGAAAGATGCCTTCATATGTATATTTGCTTGATGAGTATATTAACGTTGCAAATATATGTGAAGGCAAAAGAAGTATTCCCACAAAGGGAAGAAACTTCAAATCATGTTGGGTTTGATAATTAGAAGCCTAATTGAGGAGACAAGTGCATCTCCTTAGAAAGTACTTGTGAGGCTTGAAAGCCTAATAGTAAAGATAGATAACGAAACAGTACCTTCATTGGCACCTACTTCTTAAGTATGATGAATGAGTAATTGATAGCAGTAAAAAGCAACCACAATGTGAGGGAATTGTGGGGCTAGCTTAGCTATTTTTGATAAATGGAATAAACTTAAAAAGAATGTAAAAGTAATTTGTTTCTAGAAAGAGATAACGATTATCTCTTATAACTGAAGTTTTAAGGTATTGAAAGGTTGGGGATCCTTTAGCAAATACCTTAAATGTGGGGAATTTACCCAAGTGTTAGTAAATTACTTATCAAACCTGAACACATGTTTGGAGGAATTAGATTGGGAAACAACTACTCTCGAATGAAATATAATTTCATAAATGGAAGTGCGCACCATAAGTGATAGTCATCAACCTAGTGGATCCAATTAATTAAAGGTTTGACTAGAGAATAAGTTGTGTCATTGAGGGGAATGGGTTAAAAGCCTACATCTTTAAGAATCGCCATAATGGCAACCTAACCTAGCTGATTGGAGATCCCAAGATCTAGGTTCAAAGGGACAGCCGAATTGTGGATGATTCAATAGGAGCACTGCGAAGATAATCTCCTACCCATGTCCTATGATGAAACAGTGTTATTTGCAGCGTATTTAGGTAAACTTTGCTTTTAATGATTTCTATACTTGGAAATATCAAGTGGGGTATTACAGGATACTCTTAATAGGAAGTCACCTATCTTGAGTGAGGAATGGGGTTGTTCTTGTGAGAATTTTTTGAAGGGCTTAGTTCTCTAAAAGCACTCATGAGAAACCAAGAATTGTTCAGGGCCAAAATGAACATAACCGAGCAACCACAGGGTGTTTGGAAGGATATTATGTGATTACTATTATCTTGGTTTACACAAACAGCTGAGCAGTTTAAGGCATCGCGTTCACTGATTAGCCAAGTGATAACTCATATATTTCATACATTTATACCATCCATTCCTAGTCCCTTTGTGATATTTTTGAGTTAAACTAGTTACATTTTACCCTCTTTTGTGTTAGTGTGCAGCTAATCAAATTTTGGAGCTCAGTTGAGGACAAATAAAGCAAAATGGTGCTAAAAGTGGAGAATTAAATAAGGATGCTAATGTAGACAAAGAATTAAAAGTGGAAACTGAATATGGTGATGAATATGACTCTTTATAAGACCAATAACAACAAAAAAATGTGGGAATTAAATGCCCAATTACTGGAATGTATTGGCAATCTGTAACAGCTCTTTAACACCATAAAACCTAGCCTTTTAGCCACTTTTACATACACCTTTCATTCTAAGCGAATTTCATAACTCCAGTCACTATTTTTCTCTCTTTTCATCCACACTCAAATCTCAACTCATTCTATACTCTCCAACATCATCGAAGACTCATCCCGACAGGTTGTTCTTGGAGAAGTTCAATATCAGAATTGCTTCAAGGGTTTCCTCTCTCTTTGATTTATTTTCACTCATGTTGTGTATTTCCAATTTCATCTCTGTGAACATGATGTGTAACTAAATTCATAGCTAGGGATTTCGATGTAGCCTTGCACAATTGATCCATGTTTTTATGTTAAAATATTGAATTCATCAATCTATCTCTTGTTTCATTCACTGAATCTTTTGTTAAATTTGTTTGTTAATTTTAATGATTGATCACCATTAGGATTTCTTACAAATCATTTGATCAAGATTATAGTAAACATCATGGTTAATCTTGGTAGACATGTGAATGAATGAAGAGAATGCTATGCAAACATCCTGCCATGTATTTTCTTTGGTTCTTTAACGTTTTCTTGCATGCTAAAGACTCTTAATTTGGAACCGAAGTTGAACATCCCAATTAGATTGTAGATTAGGAGAATTTGATCAAAGCCACACATCATATGGCTGATCATATATATGTAAAACAGACTCTGGAAATAGGTTGGTAATTGAATACGGTTTAACTTCATAAACATGGAATTGGTTTTGTAATGGTGAACTCGAAATCCTTGGACCCATCCTCATCGTTTCTTAATCAACATATCATTCGTTGTTACATTTTTCTTGCATTTTAAGTTATTCTCATTAACAGCACACAATCTACATTTAATTTGTTATTTTCATTGTTTAGTTAGGGTTCTTTCAAGGCTAGTAATTTATAGAGTTTTAATCAGTCCATGTGGTTCAACACCCTTACTTGTGCCATTATACTAACCATATATTGCACTCAGAAGGAACACAACAAAATTATGGCGCCGTTGCTGGGGATTGATTTCAGCCCCCTATAATTGCTTGTTCTTCAAACCCTATTTATTTTCATTTTCAGTTTAGATTTCTAAATTTCATTTGTGTTCTGTCTATTTCTCAGGTAGTATATGTCCGACAAACTTGCTGAGATAGGCCAAACACTTGAACGTATAAAGAGCAACACTTTTGAGAACTTTCTATCAACTAGTGCTCAAATTAACCGTGAAGAAGAGGACAAACAATCTTCTAGATTAGCAAGTATAAGTGCTTATTGATGTGATATATAATAGCACTCAAATTAAACCCTCTTATTGATAATTGTAGTAAAGATATAAGTAGGGATCGTTCTAGGATGGGGATTAGGAGGGACTGCTAATCTATTCTAAACTAACATAAAAACACAAAACTAGGCTTAAAAACACTTAAGTAGACTCAAAGAACTC